CCTTGAGCACTTTTAAGAAGACCAACAAACATAATCATAAAACTACATTAACATCTCTGATTTTTTTCTTATAAACTGAGAAAACTTTCTGCAGGTTTACACAGGGAATGTTAAGAATGCATTTTTGTTAAAGGATACCACTTGGGATTATTTTTCCTTCTATAATTAGAAGAAATATTTGCTCTGCAGAAATTACTTGAGCTGTGAACATTTATTTTGAAAAACATGGTGAAGTAAAATCCCTGTGGCACAAAATACTCATGTTTTGGGGCCAGTTCAGATCTGTGTAATTGTACTTATCTCATTCTGCTCTATATTGCAATCAGATGTTTCTGTGCTTGTTTCCTATCTCAACTGAAAAGTCCTCTAATGCTGGGACAGGTCTAAATATGGCATTATACTTTAAAAAAATTTTTTTTCTGCAGAATCAAGAACAGTATTACATATTTGGGTGGTACTGAGGGGAACACTGTTTAAGTGGATGGACAATTACCATAAAAGGAAGGCAAGTTAGGAAAATATTTTATTTCCTCATGCTTAATTCACATAATGTCAAAACAGTAATTTATTGCGCTAGCAAATACAAAATTTTGAATTTTCCATTAAATTTTCTGCCTGGCCAATTTCTCATACAATATTAGAATTACCTTTATGATGTCATTGTCTTTTTCTCAGTGAGAAAGGTTTGTGATTGTTTACTCATTAACCAACTCATTCATTCATTCACTCATTCATTAATTCTCCAACATTTAATAAAGGCCTATGTTATGGCAATAACTCAATTCACAAACGGATTGAGAGTTTTTTTTTTTTTACTATTTCCCTATTTTGGTATACATTGCTTTTTCATTAATTGTCCAATAAAATGCATTTTTATCACCTACCTAGCTTGTTAACTTTTTGTGCTAGCATTAAAGCCAATCACCCAATATTTCCAGTTCTTCTTTGCCTCCTCAGACTTAGGTATATGAAGTGTAGCTTTGGCAAATGGGTTGTGAGAAGTGTGTGATTTGTCACATTCTCTGCTCCCTGGCATTGTGATTATGGAATCTGTGTCGAGATAATCTTCATCAATCTGGGTCCTGGGGCCTTTACAATGAATAGAACCTTTTATCCACCTGTTGACTAGGACTAATTGTGTGAGCTAGAAATAAAATTTCGTTAGCATAAGCCACTAATAGTTGGGTATTGTTTGTTTCTGCTATATAACCTTATCTATCCTAATCTGTACAATCATTGTAGATGTAAGTTTTCTTCTTGAATGCAATACCTGAAAATCATGCTAAGATAAAGGAAAATCTTTGAAATGTATATTCAAAAACATTTTAGCTCCATATAATAAAATTTGGTGGAGTATCCACATTTGTCGTGATTTTTAGATTGTACATAAAAATAGTAGCCTGTGTACTAACATTTAAACTATGCTGTGACAATTTTTTATTTTTAGTTAACCAAAAAAGTGCTACCAATGACTCTTCCTAAACCCCAACAAGATTGTGATTTACCTAATTCTGTGAATGGCATGTCTAAGTTGTAAAACTGGGTCAAAAGAAAAAATGACATATCTTACTTTTCATTTAGTTGGTCTATCTAGTAGTCTTTTTCAATATATTTGGATAATTGTTAATCTAAAAATGAGCAAATAAAACTCACAAACAACATTAGGTTTGGTTATAAATAAAATTTACTTCACAGTGAATTCTGTCAACTTTATCCTTTGACTATTTTTGGTATATAGTGTTTATTGATATTAACAGTTCTAAATTAAAGTTTTCATAATTAGTAATATGATCTAAAAACTTTTATCCTATTGATTTTTGCACGATCAAAATCAATCAAATATCACTTTAATACAATTATTTTCAAACTTGGCATCTGAAAAATGTTGACTCTAACTACTGATGAGTTAATGTGAGAATATTTGAGTTATTTTTTAATGTCTTTGGATTAAAGGGCAACTTTAATTTCCACATGTATATAATAACAAAAATATTTAAAGTTAATTTTAAGTTAATGATTGTTGATAAACAAGCAAAGGGCAATATATAAATACTTAATTTTTTTCATTTAATTCCATACTATAGAAAGGAAATTATACCAAAAATACCTTTAATTTGGATTTTGTTTTCTGTTGGGATTTGGAAATAATGATTTTTTATGTCGAGTTTCCTAACAAAGTTGACTTTAACTCATCTAAATAAGATTTGTGGTTTGGTACTTATTCATTTTATTACTGTACATTGTACTGAATAATACATAATCTCAGTAATAGAGTCAAACTGTGTCTTTAAAATGGCTACAAACTTAAGAATCTAGGACATTCTAGAAGGGTATACACTTGTTATACTCTATTCAACCTTTAAAAGCTGATGAAACTTTCATAATTTCCCATTGTGTGACTGAGGAAGGTTATATCCAGTATTGCCTATTAAAAATAAATTTTTGCACAAAACAGTGAGTGGAAACTTATCAGTTATTGATTACTAAGAAAAATATTAGAACATATAAAGCCTACTGTGGAGCATATTACAGTATCAGGGAAATTATGTGTTTAAAATGGTCAAAAATGTTTCCTTCCTTATTTGCTTCATGAAGTTAACAATGAAAATTTTCATAATTTAAGACATTACTCCTCCACCCTGTCTGAAGTTTTATGAGTTTTTATATCCTTCATGCCTCTGATTCTTTTTCTAGTATATTTTTCCTGAGTAAACTTAGTTGAAAATATGTTTATCACAGCTTCATCTGTAATAGTAATGAAAGGAAAATGATTCTAATGCTTAAGAGGAGAAAAAATGGCTAACCAAATTACTGTGGTATATCAATAAAGTAAAATTTGATATAATCATTAATATCATACCTAAGAATACATAAGTATGTGCAAAGATATTCATAGTATATTCCTAGGAGAAAAATTAAGTTAAAAAATGATATGTACCACTCTGACCCCATTATGAACACATTATATTTTAGATATTTTTTACATATACATACGTATAGTGTATATATGTCTATATCTTTGTTCACATATGTACAAAACACTGGATGTATGGATAAATACATAAAGTTAAAGGTCTTTTAATTTTGTTTTTTGCTTATTTGAATTTAGTTTTTAAAAACTTAAAAATATTTTTCCAGCTTTATTGAGATAAAATAGACATAACATTATGTAAGTTTAAGGTATATACGGTGATGATTTGAAATACTTATATATTGCTAAATGGTTATCACAGTAGCATTAGTTAACACCTGTATCACCTCACATAATTACAATTTCTTTTTTTGTAGTGAGAACACACAAGATCTATTCTCTTAGCAAATTTCAAGTGTATAATACCACATTGTTTATTATAGTCACCATGCTGTACTTAATTTTCTTAATTTTGTAAAATGAACAAGTATTGTCTTTGTATTGAGTAAAAAAATATATTTTAGTATCATTTTGTGACTCATTAGTGAACACTGTTATAGAAAATTCATTTTATAGTGGGAAGCAGCTGCATAGCACAGGGAGATCAGCTTGGTGCTTTGTGACCACCTAGAGGAGTGGGATAGGGAGGGTGGGAGGGAGGGAGACGCAAGAGGGAAGAGATATGGGAACATATGTATATGTATAACTGATTCACTTTGATATAAAGCAGAAAGTAGCACACCATTGTAAAGCAATTATCCTCCAATAAAGATGTTTAAAAAAAAAAAAAGAAAATTCATTTTATTAGAATATCTGGCAACTTCATTACAATAATAGTTTGAACCTTTGAATAAAGGTTTTGTGAATACTTTTGACTAATAATTTTGAAAATATAAAGGAAAGGGTTTTTTTTTTTTCCTTTTTCCTATTTAGGTATTTTGAAATTGATATACTAAAGGAACTTAGCTACAGATGTGTTCCACAACAATTATCAAAAAATCAGCCTATTAAGCTTGCTGTCCTGACCTAGGTGATGTTTTTATCGAAGGAAGCACAGTACTCAAGATAATTCCCATATAAGGCACTAAAATCAGCATTAAAGGGTTTTGAATTATGGCTAATGAGTGTGCAAGGCTGAAAAGAGACATTAATTTTTTAAAAGTTCTTAACAGTTTTTAACTTCTCGGCTTAAGCATTTATTTGTTGGTGCAGGACTCTCTAGTGCTGTCTTTTCCTGCCTCAGTCATATAAGCACATACAGAGAGAGGAGCCACAAGTCAGAACAGCCCGGAATGCCCAGCCCCCCACATTGGAGAGATGTATCTGTTCAGGGGTGTCCCCCAGACCTATAATAGACTTTGTAGGAATAAGAAATAAACTTTTGTTGTGTTAAAAAAAAATTTCTAAGAGATGCATTAATAGAGATTCATAGGTACCTTTTTCTTCCTTTTTTTTTGCACATATGAACACATAAAAGAAGAGTAGAAAAGACAATGACCACACTTTTTTTATACTTTGTTAGGATCTGAAGAGACGCTTACTATTGAAATATAAAAAGTACACTCTTAAAAATGTTTTTTCTCAGTCTTAAACCTTACTTAAACCTGAACAATTGTTTATATTTCATAATTATGACTATAGGCAAAAAACAATGTAGCACATTTTATTCTGGTCATTATATACATGTTAAATGCAATTGTAAAACTCAAAATATGCAAATATTTTATTAGCCATTCAAAATGATCACATTACTTGTAATTTATTTAGCAGTATTTGAAATGCAAAATTAGACATGCGCATATTTTCCTTTTAGGCTACTTGTTTATCCATTTCTGAATTAATTGACCTATATTTCCCAGTAATTATCTTTAGCCTGAAGTACAGTGTATGGGAAACTTATTGAGTAAAAACACCTTTGGAAGATTCTTGAAACATCCCATCTTATCTACTCACAGTCTTTTCTTTCAGGTGCTTAGGTCACTAATGCTATTTTTGCTAAAAATAAGCCAATGTATTTAGTCTGTTGCTCTTTTTGTCTTATTTTCAAAAGCTTTGTTCTTAATTACCTTTCTTTTTTTTTCTGTTATAGGTCATTTTCTATTATATGGCCTATAAAATCATTTCCATTGGGAAAGAATGGCAGAAAAGTCATCATCCTTTGAAGACAGTTTTAATTAAAAGGTAAATTCAGGCCTCTGGACATCATATAGGTGATTGCTGTGCAATGAAATTGTTGTTCACATCAAAATTACTGATTGTTACCCATTTTGTTCATTTGTAAGGCAAACCCTGATGTTGAGGACTAAAAATAAGTTTTCTTGAATTATACAAATGCAAAAGTTATTTTTAATGCATAACACTTTACATATACTTTAAAATAATTGTTTAAAATAGTTTGAAGTAGGATTTCTGAATTAATCATTGTTTTGAATAGTTTAGATTAAGAGTTCTGAAAACTGTATCTCCTATGAAAAGAGGGAGTGGAAGGCAGAAAATTTATATTGGAGTGCTTTACATACTAATCATCTAGAATGGGATGTAATAAACTGTTTCAAATATCCTTCCACTTGTAATGATAGGATGTCTTTAGATAAATTCACAGAATTTATTTTATTTTACTAATTAATTGGTATATATAATTCATCCACAGATATATTAGTGAAAGCTGGATTCTAAATGACTTTCCTATATAAGCTTTCCAATTAATTCTTCTCACACTGTTTTCCTAGTGACATTTGAACTTCTTTCATTGTATAAAACACATCTGGAATGAGACATTGCTGAATAATAATCATGGATGCTAACATGTTAAAAGATTGAACCCCTGACATAGTCAAATGTGTTCTGGTTTAAAACAGTGACCTCAACTAATGCTGCTTTAAGTGAATCATATTTAGAAAGAATATATAGGGATATATGTTCAGCTTCCCTGTCTTGTGCTAGAATTGGTGAAAAAGAAAGAAATCAAATTGCAAACTGTGTCTTCATTGTTTAGTAGAGTTGACTATATTAATTCATATTTTTCCTGCCATCTGTAAATATTTTTCCTTTATTTGTCTGATATGAAAAATATTGCATTAAGTAAATATTAAAAAGCATTATCTAAAACATATGTTAAATCATGTATTACTTATAATTTACATTTGTGTCATAGGGTTACTAAATTTCGTTCATGGTGTATTCCATAAAAGAGATGATGCTGGTAAGATCTTGTTTAAATGGCTTGCTAATACAAGAAGCAGATCATTTAAAATGAACCTTACGTCTTCATAGGTTGTTAGAAATGAAGACATTACCTCAAAATGTAGGTAATTATTGCCTCCTGTTTTATCAGTGCTCTTTTCTGAGGTATTATCATAAGAGAGCACTTTAGTATTAAGCAGGGCCTTCGAGTGGCAATAAATCAGTCCAACTGAGTCATTATTGTCCAAGGCATCTGAACTACTGCAATGTTGTGGATCCTACTGAGAGTGTGAAATCACTTGACCCTTGGCATTAACCTTTGCTGAATGAATAGACACTGCTTTCCACATCGAGGAACAAAGCAGAAGACTATTGATTAAACACCACATTCACTTGATATTAAATACTGGCTGAACTCACTTCTTGCTTCCAATTCCAGAGGGAGAAACCCAGAGAGTTGCTGAGTCTCACGAGAATGGATGTTTGTAATTCAGAGCAATGTTTTTCCTGCAAAGTACTTTTTTTCTCTTTTGATCAATAACTAGCAGCCATGATCAGCCATGAGTATGTATTCTCAATTCTGACCTGTGTATTTTATCACCTAAGGTGAAAGGTCACAGTGCTGTGACTAATAGTTCTAAGCATGAATTGTTTCCTGACTTCAATATCTCTTTGAAAAAGCAATTTGTTTTATTTTATTTCTTGCTTATGAGTCATTATTTTGGCAATTGATTTGTTTGCATTAGTAAAATACATGATTTTTCTAAAATTCTTTGGTTTAATAACGTTTTTGCAGATGTTGAATTTTCTGTAACTCGACATTATTAGAAATCATAAAAAAGTACATTTTAGGATTTATGATTTATGTTATTTGGGAAAGAGAAACATTATAGTTAAATAAATTTCTCAAGTTAGAAGAAAGCAAAAAGCTTTGGAATAGAGTGTAGCAATACCTATGAGCATAAAGCATTGCTAATAGAGTGTAGCAATACCTATGATATTTTACCAGAAATCTCAAGCTAATTACCTTCTGATCCATTCCTTGTCCTGCACTATTGACAGCAGTTTGACAGCTTCTTTGTAGACCTATTTTAACCAGAAGGAGAACATGTGTTATGGACAGATAATTCAATTCAGGGAACTAAAGTTAAATTTTAAAATTTTACCCACAGTTGAAAAAGTCATTTTTATTTTAAATTTAAATAGTTTCTTTGTGTTCATATAACTGGAATTACTTTACTGTAGGAAGCAACATATTAGCTACAAGGGTTTTCTTCTTTCTCCAAAGTTTCATATTCTTTTGGACCCAGGATATTGCACCAGTAAAACTCTTCATAAATAATTGTTTTCATTGCTGACTGGCTTGTGTTCAACACCAAGAATTCTAGATCAGGTAGCTGCGAATCTGTCATGGTTGAGCTAAGATCATTCCTTGGCTGAATAATAGAAAATATTTCCTCTGAGGACATAATGGTGTAATATACTCGCAGTCTCACACAGTTTGCACAGTTTTTAAAAAGGAGTATTAGGAGGCTGGGGAAAGTTGATAAGATGAATCATGCAGCTAAACTTAATAGTCAATCCTTTTGATTTGATGCTTTCTACAGGATGTGTAGTCCCTGAAATCTTTCTTTGAAAGCTACTGAAGCTGTGAAAAATACGAAAAACATTCTATGTCATATATTGTTTTCTTTATTCCTAAGGACATTTGTATAGGAGTCATTTTTACTTCACTATTATTTTGAGCACAGACATGCTATATGTACACAAGAACCTTGAACTTGACTTGAGGGTACCTACGTACAATTTACTTGACTGATATAATATAGTACCAACTTGCTTCGTGCATGACAAATATACAATTCTAATATTTTTAAGGTTATACTTAATGAAAACATTTAACTAGAATTTGCTGCTCTGAAGTACCAAATAATTGTTTTTTATTCTGCTGCACATGCCAGTGAAGGAGATATTTTTGTGATATTTTAGACTAATCAGACTGAGTAGAGAAGTGGCTGGGTCAAGGTCACACAGTAAGTTTGTGACATAGCTGTGATTAGAATCCATGAAGCACATACTGCAAACCCATTTATAATCTCTTTGGTGTCTGTATGGGACTTCTAAATGGAAATTATTGTAAATGAGGTTGGTGAGATACAATAAAATGATAATTATAATTTATTATAACAGAAATATTAGAATATTACAGGTTAAAATTGGAAGAATAAGGAAGCAAAAGAGAGAAAGAGGAAAGAGAAGAGAAAGAGAAAGAAGAAAAAGGGAAACACTTTTGGCTTTACCATACCGATTTCAAAAGAAAAGATCAGATAAGCATCTCACTTGAGACATATGCAGAAATAGTGTTTATGCTAACAGGGGTGAGGAGTTTGTAATTTTTTTTAATGCTCAGAAGAGTAAGTAGGTCCTCATTCAAACTTCTGCTGGATTAACGCCCCCAACCTGCCATCCCTGTTCTTAAAAATAATCCAGAGATTGTTTAGAACACACTTCCATAAAGTGAAGAGCAACTCTTTCTACTGTTTAGAGGTGAGGTCCAGGACGAATTATTCATGAAAGTCTGTTGTTTCTATATTAAAAACAAAAGTTCCTATGGTGGTTTTGGAAAAGTTGAGATAGTAAAAGCTCCAAAAGTATTCTGCCACAGGTAGATTATTCAAAATTGATCTTTTCTGAGGTTTGTTGTGATTCCCATTTTTATCTGCTACCTCATGAGAAACTTCTTTTTAAAAGTTCTCTATAACCGTTCATAGCTAAAAAGGATAACTCTCAAGATGTCCATAGCTCTGAACATAACAGTCTTTCTCTAGCCTGGTCAGGAATCTTTTTAGTGCGAGTTTTTTGTTTCCTTGAATTAGCAGAAGACTTTGAAATTGACTACATGTTGTTAAATCTTTGCTTGGGATCTAGTAAAACCCCATATAGTTTATCTGACACAGTAGAGTTTGTCTTTTTACATTTGTCATTCCTCATAAAAGATATTGACCAGAATGTTTGTGACTTTGACCAGCAGAAAACCTTAGCTGACACACTCAAGGCTGAAATGCAGTCAGCGGAAATGGAAACACTCCAACCCTGCCCCTGTGGCAAGAATGGCTTCCCGTTAGACAATCTGATCAGATTCTTGATGGACCAAAGGGAGGTACGTATGCTGGGCATTGCGTTTGTATTTTTCTTGACCTACCTGCTCCTTAGAGCTGCATCCTAAGAGTGCTGCTTGTGTAAAACCTTTCAGGACTATGCATCATTGATCTAGCTATAATCACACTGATCTGTTGGCTTTTCACTGAACTTTACTTAAGTGAAAACTAACCCTCTTCGTCCTGTTCGGGGTTATGATTGACTGTATGTCTTTTGAATGGTGTGAAGATGCTGGCTGTGAAACTGGAACACTGCTTTTAAATGTCTTTAAAAGAAGGAAAGAAAAATGTATCCCCTCAACCACTATAGAGCAAGATAAAAGAGAATAATGATGGTGCACACTGCATTGTCAATGCTGAACTTTAGAGAATCTTCTTAGAACCTCTCAACAGCTTGAAAAAACTTTTCACCCTCCCCCCCACATTTATTTATTCCCAAATTATTTTTTAAAACAAGGATTTTACAAGGGTAAATTTTAATTCATTGATGCAGCTTTTCAATTATGCTACACACATATTTATTGAGAGTCCCTTAAATATTTCAGTTTCCTGGATGGCAAACAGATGCCACTCCCCACCTGAGATATAGAACCAGGATAGCTGACAGAAAGGAAAAGGAAACACAGGGCCATGAGGACATGAAAAACTGGTTAGAAAAAAGAATAAGAAAACCAGGAAGCTATGGGCATGAGATCTAGTATAGAAGGTTACCAGTCCTGTTCTCCATCCTGACCCTCCCACATCACTTAGAATCTGTAGACTGGATATATGAAGTTAAGCTTCACCGATACATAGGTAGCAAAATATAAAGTGCATAATAATAAAAACTGTGTTAAGTGTCTTTTATGTGGGCAGAGTTGATTTCAGTTGCTAAGCTTTCACTATATGCATCTGTAATTTCATGACACTAAGGGAGTCTAAGCACTTAGTAATATTTATGGGCCTCAGTCATTTCTCCCAGTACATGTATGTAATTTTTCTACAACTAATAGCTTATTTTATAAAGAATGGTAATGGGAATGAGTAATTATCCTCTAGCTGCTTAGGACTGTACTTTTGTGTATGCAAGGGCAGACCTCTTGCTCCACCTTTCAAAATAGCATTCCTAAACATCACAGTGCACCCAGAGCTGCTGAGTGGGGGCATGTGTGCTGACCCAGATTATTAGCGCATCCATCCATCCAGCAACACTATGAAATACTTTCCACTTTGCACATTGCACATCCTTTATGTGAAAACACACACACACACACACACACACACACAATGGCAGCTTTAATCAACAATGTAGCTCTGTTTAAGAATTAATATTTACAGTCATGATTTCTTTTCACATGTTATCCTACTAATAATAAATAATAACTATCCTAGTTCTAAAATTAATAATAATAAAGTACAGTGCTTAAATAAGCAAATATTTAAAAAATCTTGGTTTCTTTCACATTTTTCTTTAGATTATTTCTTTTTCCTTGTTTTGTTTTCAATTTTACTATAAAGGTGGGTGTTTAAAAAAATACTTTCTGGTTGGGTCTAAAAATGGTCTACTTGAGTGTAAATAAAGACTGATGAGTCATTCACCATTACCTCCAGATTAGTTTAATAAGTAGGTTAGAGAGCACCCAGGAACCAAAACAGTGGCTGTAATATATTGACGCAAGGGAATATTTTTAACAGTCGGTTACATAATAATCGACTGTGACTTTTGTTAAGGGAAAAGTTTTATACCATAATGAAAGGAATGATATCTGATACCCAGGGAAGAATTAAAACTTTCAGAGAACTTTGAAACATATTTAAGGTCTTCTCTGAGAAAAGAACCTAGAGACTGACTTTATCAAAGAACTGTTATTCTTCCATTTCTCCAGTGTTCAAGCTACTACATTTAATGTTCTTTGAATCCATTTGTTTCCTGGTACGGTAAAAAAATTTCCTTTTATGATTTTTAGAATGGCCATGATTCTCAAATCAGGTTACCAAATATTATTAAATTAGGCGATAGCATTATCTATTTAGAATTAATGTGAGGTAACATCCTTCCTGATCTATAGTATCTATTCTAGAAGATACTTCTGGGATGTATCATTGTCATGAGTATAAGTGATAAGGAATATGAAACCATTCCTGGCAAAGAACTTATCACAAGATATTCAGTGCAAAGGGATATCTGATGCTTATCAACATGTTATAAAGAACTTTAAGTAAAAAAAAATGTCTTGGGATTTTGTGTGAGAGACAGCCTTCAAGATAAGTTTGGGCGGTTCACCTTTTGGAAGGAAATTGAAACCTCACTGTCAAATGGCATTTTCATCTATTTGAGAGGTTATTTTATCCATCGAAGGGGACCCTATAGCAGATGTACAATCCATATCTTAGCCCATATCGTACTTGATTATAATTGCTTTCCATCTCTCCCACTAGGCTGTGACTCCATGAGAGAAAAGAGGAGTCGGTCTGTCAGTGTAATTGAATTCTAGTCTCAGAAATTGGATGTTTGTATATACCCTTAGCATCTTTGAAGGGGTCCTGAAACTTCTAGCAAACTGGGCAAAGGGAGCCCCAGAACATTAGACCTAATTTAAATGTGCAGGTGTGACATTGAGACTTTCTTTTTAAAATACCTTCAACATTCTCAGCTAGTTTTTTCCCAGAGTCATTGTTAAGTCTCAATCAAGTTAGATCTCTTTTTAAAGACATTCATCGAAGTAGTAACTTCCTACTAACAAAAAATAAAACATAGGTTAACAATGAATGTGACTCTAATCCAATTTATTATCACAAACTACAAATATAGTTTTTAAACAAGTGAAGTTGTATTCCTTAAGGCATCCACAGTGTTTGTCCCAGGTGAGTTGATTGTTCATCAGTACTAAGGGATCCTTTGTGAATTATTATTTGATGTAGAATCCTAGATTGCGTGTGAAGGGTCAGATAGCTTACAAGATATTTCTAGATGGATCTGCCTTCAAGAAAATAAACTTATACTAGCACTCCATCCTAGTATTTGCACTTTAACTCATTTTAAGTGTCCCTATATATAATTTGCTGATATCAACATTTTATTTTCTGTTTTCTGTGTAATTTAAAATCTAGGTACTCTGTTTTCATTTATATCTTCTCGTCTTTAGAACAAACTTTTTTCTTCCCTTGGGAATGTACCACTGGCTATTAATGGAACATCTTGTTTCATTATAGATATCTTAAAACAAGTTTTCGTAAATAATCTCATTCATGCCATGAAGTTTACTAATATGGAAGTCTTTTGACTAGAACACTAACACTTCCTAGTTAACCTTTGTCTTCAGTACAGCAAAGGGTATACATTAATAAGGGTATTTGTGGTTTAGCTGCAGATTGGTTAAATAGAGCTACAGTTTGTTAAGGAAATAATGTATACAGGCATTATGCCAAGCACTTGATGGACGTTATAACATTACTTTTTACAGTTACCTGGAGAGGAAAGTATTATACCCAATCTCTTCACTCTGTTTGCAGAGGAGGAATAAACTAAGACTCTAGCTCAAAGATGTTAAGTAACTTTCCCCAAACCACAAAGCTAATAAGTGACAGACCCAGGATATAATTCCAAGATAATTCCACTTTTTAGTCACATTATTCTTCCTTCCCATCACTTTTATGGTAAGACAAATGCTTATTTCATAAATAGAATTAAGGTTTTATGTTTATATTTTCTGTGTCTGTGCATAGTAGTGAAAATATTGCTGGGAAACAGAATTAAAGAGCTTTTCCATTTCTTGGTTTGGAACATGTTTGCTTACTTAGTGCTTTGGTCAAAATCATAGTTTATCTTCTTATTTTACTAAAAGTGCCCTTTCTGTATCACTCTCAGCTTTGAGTCAGTATCTTATTATTCATTAATATAATGAATAATCCTTAGCAGCTTTTTGATAATATACTTCTCGATATATAATGGGAGAAAATTCATTATAGAATGCTAATATAGTAATTTAAAATTAATTTTTAGGGCTTCCCTGGTGGCATAGTGGTTGAGAGTCCGCCTGCCGATGCAGGGGACACGGGTTCGTGCCCTGGTCCGGGAAGATCCTACATGCCGCGGAGAGGCTGGGCCCGTGAGCCATGGCCGCTGAGCCTGCGCGTCCGGAGCCTGTGCTCCGCAACGGGAGAGGCCACAACAGTGAGAGGCCCGTGTACCGCAAAAAAAAAAAAAAATTTTTCTTTTAAAAAAGGCTAAAATATAAATTTTCACTATAAAAGGTACACGTGTAAACTAATTTGATTTAAGGCTAGTACATATTTTCAAGATAAAGAAGGAAAATAATGGATCTACAGTAACACCAGGACTTTTATACCTGAGTGTACTCGCCCAGACCTTGTATATTTTCTTGTCTGTCATCATTTGTCATTTCGATAAAATTTCAAGGTATTGATTTTTTGAATTAAAGAAATCCTTGTATTATTTTTCCTAATTTTGTCACTGAAATAAACAAGCAACTTATCACAATTATGATCTACAATTTCCCCACAAGAGAAAATCATTTTAAAATTTTTATTTTTTTATTGAAGTATAGTTGATTTACAATATTGTGTTAGTTTCAGGTGTACAGCAAAGTGATTCAGATATATATATATATATATATTCTTTTTCAGATTCTTTTCCCTTATAGGTTATTACAAACTACTGAGTGTAGTTCTCTGTGCTATACAGTAGGTCCCTGTTGGTTATCTATTTTATATATAGTAGTATGCATATATTAATCCCAAACTCCTAATTTACCTAATTTATCCCTTCCCCCTTTCCCGTTTGGTAATCATAAATTTGTTTTCTGTGACTGTGAGTCTGTTTCTGTTTTGTATATAAGGTCATTTGTGTCATTTTATTTTGCTTCCATATATAAGCACTATCATATGATATTTATCTTTCTCTGTCTGACTTACTTCCCTCAGTATGATAATCTCTAGGTCCATCCATGTTGCTGCAAATGGCATTATTTCATTCTTTTTTTATGGCTCAGTAGTATTCCAT